TGTTTATAAATAAAGGTTGATTGGAACAGCTACGTTCATTCATTTATATATTGTCTGTGGCTGCTTTTTGTGCTGTAACGGCAGCGTTGCATAATGGCAACAGAGACTGCATGGCCCACAAAGTTAAAAATATTCACTATCTGGCCCTTTTCAAAAAAAAGTTTGCCAATCCCTACTCTTCATGACTTTACTCAGTTGGGTAGTGGGATCTTTTCATGATGGGGCCCTCAGATTACATTCCTCTTTGACTTTAATGGAAGGTTAACCCCTTACCCGCCTGCCACTCATACAGGGACTTCTTGGGCCCAAGCGACAGGAAATCTCTGGTGGTGTTTCTCCTAGTTATGAGAATTGTAGGCCATAGTTCATTTCCCCTGAACTAAGCTACTGGTCTCTTTTAGCCTATCCTGGGTCCTGTCCCCTCAGCTGTTGGTCTTCCTGTTTGCTTTATATTTCTTTTCTTTTTTCTCTCCCGTTGAAAAATTGTTCCTTAATTCTTCCCCCAGTCCCCTTCTTAGATCCTACAGTTTTGTTTCAAGGCAAATTCAAACCGATTCTCATCTACCACAGTTCCCCAGCTTGGCTGATTATCATCGTGACCCAGTTCAGAGATTCCACCCTTTCTTCTGGGTAGAGTGAAGACAGAACCCTCCCTGCATGGTAGGAGAGCCTCCATCTTAGCTGGAGAGGTTTCCAGTTATCTTCTCTGACAACTGTTAGAGCTGGTGCCTCATATTAACCCCTCTGCCCTAGATTTTCTTTGGGGCAGAGTATGCTTTGGTTTATGAAACCAAAAAACCAAACCAGTTACCATCAGAGCCTCCTAAGTTGCGGGTATTATGTATTTAGGAGGGAAGGTTGTCATAAGGGTTCTGAAAATGAAGGAAGGAAAGGTGTGGTAGAAGCCACATGAAGACAGGCTGACTAGATTAGGACACTTCCTTCCACAAAGACAAGGCTGAGGCCAACTCTGGTCAGAACTGATAAATGCAAGAGTAGCTCATTGAAGTAGGATGAACCCAGATTTGTTCATGATATCCAAAATGAGGTAAGCTTAAGTCACATACAACCAGCCAGCCGCTGTCAAGTTGATTCTGACTCATGGCAACCCCATGTGTGTCGGAGTGAAACTGTGCTCCATAGGGTTTTCAGTGGCTGTTTTTTTCAGAAGTAGATCACCAAGCCTTTCTTTCAAGGTACCTCTGGGTAGACTCGAACTTCCAACCTTTTGGTTAGCAGCTAAGCGCGTTAACCATTTGCACCACATACAAGGAAGTGCTGATTCCCACAGTACCAGATGGTGGTGGTGCTGCTGATTCTGTTCCAGATACTGTGCTTAGTGACGGATGTCAGTCATCTCTTTCCACTCCCACTAGAGGCCAGTGAGGTGATGGCCCCATTTTATAGATAAGAAAACTGAGGCCCAGAGAAGTTAAAGATTTTGCCTTACATTTCAAGGTCCATAAGTGGCAGAGTAGAAGCTTTAATCAAGGTCTTTCTGACCCCAGAATTGAGCTCCTCTCTACTATACTTGAGTTGTCACTCTGTAATTAACATTATGAAACCCGCTACCCAAAAAACATGGCTAGAGGAAGAAAACACGAATGGATTCCAAAGAAATTTGGGTATACCAGAACCACGTGTGGGAATTAAGAGGGAATGACCTGTGTCTAGCTATAGTATCCTTTTGGCACGTTTCTTTAAGTTGACCACAGAATACTGAGTCTGACTCATTCTGACGGTTTCTATGTTGTTAAGGTTGAATTCCAAGTACAAGCTGCCCACTGCTGAAGGAAACTGGTTATAATTGTTCTACTGATAGATTGCTGCTGTTGTTGTTAATTGCCACTGAGTTGGTTCTGATGCATAATGACCCCCACGTAGAACGAAACATGGCCAGGTCCTGCGCCATCTTCACAATTGTCGTTATGTTGGAGCCCGTTGTTATGGTCACTTCTGTATTTTGAGTGCCTTCCAACCTAGGGGGCTCATCTTCCATCAGTGTAGGGGACAATATTCTGTTGTGATCCACAGGGTTTTCATTGGCTAATTTTTGGAAATAGATTGCCAGGCCTTTCTTCCTAGTCTTAGTCTGGAAGCTCAGCTGAAACCTGTCCACCATTGGTGACCCTGTGGGTATTTGAAATACCAGTGGCATAGCTTCCAGCATTATAGCAACATGCAAGCAACCACAGTAGGACAAACTGACAGATGTGCATTGATAGATACTGGTCTGTATATACAGGAAGTTTATGTTAAAGCATAAGTAAGGAATACTGATTCCATGAGCTGTATTATAGGCTGTGTCACATAGGAACCAAGACAGACTCAAACCGCATGTGTTCCCTTACACATCTAAGTCAAGCTGTTTTAAAACAGTAATAAGAACACAGCTAGTATGGCAGATCCTTTGTGACTTAGTGATTTCCTTTCTTCCTGGTTATTTCTGCGTAAATGTAGCCAGTGCAGTTTCCTTGAAATTGTGAATGAACCCACGTCTCCACTGTTTTCCTCTTGTGCTGGACAGTGTGGAGGAAACTGGAATTGCCTCTCTTTGTGGTAGAGGAGACAGGGGGTGTCGGGAACAAATTTCCTTTTAAACCAGTGAATTTTCTCTCTCGGCTTTCTTTCCCAACCAAAGCAGAACAGTCCAACCTGTGCTTTAGTTGTCTCCCATGATCCCATGCTGACGTCTGGATATTGAGTAACAGGTTTTTATTCCCTTCCTGGGTCGCCATGACTCCATGGTAGCTAACAACAGCAGCAACGACAACTCTTCTCTCTCCTCCAAGCCCACGTGGGAAGAGATGAGTTAGAGACAAGTGCAAGGCTAGAATCTGAAGCACCAGTGGTCACAGAATGGTGAAGACGGTGGGAATTATTCTTCTGCACTGAATATCTAGAGACATGGTTTCTGTGATATTTGCAAACTTTGCTAGCATATTCTCCCAACTTTTTACCCCTTATTACACTCCAAACTCTTTTGACATTTGAAAAAAAAAAATTCCGAAGTCTGTGAACATACTTAAAGAGAGAACTTGGATAAAGGGTTTCTTTAGATCAGTTCAACAGATAAATTTTTGATCAGTTGTTATGTTGAAGACATTGTGCCAAGTGGGACTAGACAGAAATGCATTCAACCCTGCTCTTCACTTACGAGCTTGGGAAATTTATTTAATTTCTAGCTTCAGTTTCCTCACCTGCTAAATGGAGATACAGTCACTCACAGGGTTGTTGTGAAGATTAAGTCAGATCATGTATGTAATATCTTTTCACCAGTATTTGGCATTCATTTATTCAACAAATGTCTATTGAATTCCCTACTGAGTTCGAGGGATTGTGCTATAATGTTATTTTGTTGTTGCTGCTCCAATTTATGGTGGCCGTATGTATAACACAACAAAACACTGCTTGGTCTTGTGCTATCTTCCTGATCACTGATATGCTGGAGTTCACTGATGTGGCTATTGCATCAGTCCATTTCACTGAGGGTTTCTCTCGTTTTTCCTGGCCCTCTCCTTTGCAAAACATAACGTCCTATTGTAGCAATTGATCTTTCCTGTTGTCCAAAGTAAGGGAGCCAAAGTCTCTCCATCCTCACTTCTAAGGAATATTCTGGTTATATTTCTTCTAAGGGGATTTGTTTGCTCTTCTGGCAGTCCAAGGTATATTCAGTATTCTTCGAATGCATCCGTTCTTCTTCTGTCTTCGCTTTTCATTGTCCAGCTTTCACGTGCGTAAACATAAATTTGCTTCACTCTCCCTCTCACTCTAGTGCTTAAAGAACTTATCTTCCCGCAGGATGTAAGGAAAGCACAAAAATGTCTAGAATACAAGATAGAATCCTAGATATGCCCTAGAAGAGGTGCTATGAATAGGAAGGCTGCGTGAATGAGAAGGAGATCAGGAAAACTTTCACAATGAGTATGGAAGGATCCATGTGATTTTCAAAGGTGATGGTTAAAATGTATCCAGAGTAGTTATGGAGAAGGAATCTTGACTGCAAGCATCCAGTGGCAGCAGCAGAACCTTAATATAGACAGAACAATTCCTGAAAAGAATTTAAAAAAGAACATGCCCCAGCAAAATATCTGGAGCTTAAGGACCTTACTTATGCTTTCCAAGAACTTCCTTTTTTTTTTTTTTACCAAGATACATACTGTATTATAGTTATTGCCTATGATCACAATAGGCTAATAAATGTAATATATGGTATCTCACAATTTCAGGTGTTTTTTGGATTGTGGAAACTCCAGGAAATCTGGAGGTTAATAGTTAAACAAGTTTGTCATTATCAACTAGATTTGTAGGCACATTGTAATTATATAAGCAAGCTGGTGGTTTAATAATCAATGCCTAGCTAGGCTGGAGAATGTTTTCCAGAGCATGGTCACAGCTGTAATTTTCATTTACTGTAACCTGCTAAGCTGTCTTTTCCATTTCGTAGTGCTTTTCCCTTTGCTAGAATTGCCTGGCATCAGTTAAAGAGGGGAAAACAAACAGTTCAACGTACTTTTTGTTGTTGTGCTGTAGGTGAAAGTTTACGGAGCAAATTCGTTTCCCATTGAACAGTTAATACACAAATTGTTCTGTGACATTGGTTGCCCACCCCGCAATGTGTCAACACTTGCTCTTTCTCCGCTCCAGTTTCTCCGTTTCTATTTGTTCAGTTTTCCTGTTCCTTCCTGCCTCTTCGACTTTGCTTTTGGGCTGGTGTGCCCATCAGTCTCATATACATGATTGAACTATGAAGCACGTTGTCACGTGTGTGATTTGTTTTATAGACCTGTCTAATCTTTGGCTGAAGGGTGAACATCAGGAGTGACTTCAGTTCTGAAATAAAAGGGTATCTGGGTTCTCAATGTGCTTCTGAATTCTCATTTTACTTCCCTCAAGAGTGGTACTCCAGAAGGGTTACTTTTTCAAGGATGATATTGGATACTGTCAAGGGAGTTATTATTCTTATTATTATTTTGGTGTTCCAATAAAACTTTATTTAAAAAAACATGGAACACTTCACAAATCTGCGTGCCATCCTTGCACAGGGGCCGTTCTAATCTTCTCTGAATTATTCCAATTTTAGTACATGTGCTGCCAAAGCAAGCACTTTTTTTTGTATATTTAATTTCAGAAAAATATAGTTTGAAAAATAAATACATTTAATACATTTTGTGTGGTGGTGTTGTTGTTAGGTGCCGTCAAGTGGATTTCTGACTCTAGTGACCCCATGTGACAAAGTAGAACTGCTGTATAGGGTTTTCTAGGCTGTAATCTTTATGGAAGCAGATTGCCAGGTCCTTTCTCCAGAAGAGTTGCTGGGTGCGTTTGAACCACCAACCTTTCGGTTAGCCGTTGAGTGTTTAACCTTTTCCTTGATTCAAAAGCACAATGACCCACAACTCTTGAGCACACAAGAAACTGTTCTTTCACTATTTCTGCTGTATGTTGTTTTTCCAGCTTTTTATCAGTTTCTCCAGGTACCTGGTACTTAGTCCCTTTCTTTTTCTCAGTGACTTCATTCAGCTGAGAGTCGGCAGAGTGGGGAAGGTAGGTGAACTGATTCACCCTCAGTCAGCTTCGGGCAAGCCACAGGGCAGCTTTTTGCCCCACCTTCTGTGCAGTTAAAGAGAACGTCTGACCCAGCCAGGTAGACAGGACCTGCCAGCTGCCTCATCTGATTCAAGTGGCTGCCAACTCTTCTCACTCAGGACTTTGTTCCTGAATGAGCTTCTATTTTTAGGGGAAACCTCGGGGAGAAAATGCAGATTTAACTCTGGAATTAGTTTAAGAGTGAGATTGGGAAATCTTAGTACAATAGAGTTTGAATAATTTTTTTTTTCCACCACAAATTGTAATCTTTCTGATGTGACCTGTATAGAGACAAGAGAGCCAGCAAGTTACTTTCGGGGGAGAAATATATATATCCACCACCATCACCAGTTGCCACTGAGTTGACTCCAACTCATGGTGACCCCAGGTGTGTCAGAATAGAATTGTGCTCCACAGGTTTCTTTTCTTTTTTTATAATTTTATTTGTTTTGTTGTTGGTGTTGAGAATATACACAGTGAAACATACACCAATTCAACACTTTCTACATGTATCATTTAGTGACATTGATTACATTCTTTGAGTTGTGCAACCATTCTCACCCTCTTTTTCTGAGTTGTTCCTCCCCCATTAACATAAATTCACTGCCCCTAAGGTTCCTATCTAATCTTGAGAGCTGTTGTCGTCAATTTGATCCGATATAGATAGTTCTTAAAAGAGCATGCTGGTCAAGGCAGACCTTTTTTAGTAGTTAAGCTAAACTGTTGTTCGGTTTTAAGAAGACTTCAGGGAATATTTTTGGTTTATGGTTTAAAGATTATCTCAGGGTACTAGTTTCAGGGGTTCATCCAACCTTCATGGCTCCATGAAGTCTGAGGATTTGAAATTCTGTTCTGCATTTTCCCCCTTTTGATCAGGATTCTTCTATGGAATCTTTGATCAAAATGTTCAGTAATGGTAGCCAGGCACCATCCAGTTCTTCTGGTCTCATGGCAAAGGAGGCAGTTGTTCATGGAGGCAATTGGCCACACATTCCATATCTTCCTCCTCCTGTTCCTGACTGTCCTTCTCCTTCTGTTGTTCCGGGTGAATAGAGATCAATTATTGTGCCTTGGATGTCTGCTTGCAAGCTTATAAGACCCCAGGCACCATGCGTCAAACTAGGACGTAGAACAGAGTCACTAAACATGTTATTAGGCCAATTAGTTGGGGTGTCCTGTGAAACCATGACCCTAAACCTCCAAATGAAGAAACCAAATCCCATAATATTTTTGGTTGTACATAAGCAGCCTCAGCAGTTACTCTTTTTTTTGTCATTGTTGTAAATATATCTATCATACAACTTTTGCCAGTTCAACTTTTTACAGGTGTACAACTTATTGACAGCAATTACAACAATCAGCTGTGCAGCCCTACCCTTAATCAATGCAATATTTCCATCACCATTAACTCCCCTTTTCCCCCTGCCTCCTTCCCCTGGTAACCACTAATAAACTTCGTTCACTATACATTTGTATTTTTTTGTCTTTTTACATAAGGGAGGTGATACAATATTTGTCCTTTTGTGATTGACTTATTTCACTCAGCACCATGTGTTCAAGCTTCATCCACATTGTAGCGTGTATCAAGACTTCATTTCTCCTACTGACTGAGTAATATTGCTCCACAGGGTTTTCAGTGGCTGATTTTTTGGAAATAGATCGCCAGGCCTTTCTTCCGAGACACCTTTGGGTGGACTTGAACTTCTAACCTTCCGGTTAGCAGCCAAGCCCGTTAATCGTTTGCACCGCACAGGGATTCCTCTATGTATGTATACGTGTGCATACAATTTCTTGGTTGAATTTAATTAGCGGTACTGAGCAGTTGAATCATCTGCCCCTTGCGCTATGCTAGGTGCATAGAAAAATGAGTAGCAACCTCATGCTGTTCTGTGTGATATGAATGTAAATTCTGGTGCAAGATACAGGCAGGACACAGAGGAAGCCAAGGGGCATAGCTCCACCTGGGGAGACTGGGAGAGCCTGTTGGTACCAGGAGGACGTTAACTCAGTCTAATACCGCTGTAAGTGCGGCTTTTTTTATGAGAATGAGGAAGTAAAATAAGACACTTGCCATCTGGTGCTCGAGCTGACTGCCTGCTCTTCTCGTTTTCTGTCTGTAATGACAAATTGGATGCTGCTAAACTGGGAGTGTTGTATTAGAATTAGGGGGAAAAAAACGAAAAACACTGTTGCTATATTGACTCCAAAAACGTAATTAGGATTTGGTGGTAATGGACCTACACCCTCAGTGGCTGTCATGGGAAGCTTGGATGTAAAGATACAGGGATGGGGTTTGGAGGCTGGGGGAAGGGCACCCTACCTGCTGTAACAAAGGTTCTAGTCCTAATGGAACAAAACTTAAGAGGAAATGGGAGTAAGAACCAAGGATCTGTAGCCAGGCAAAGCTTATTTTTAGAAAAGGTCTGTAAGCTTTAAAAAAAAAAAGTACTACTTGAGTGTTACCAAGCTCTTACAATAGTGTTTATTAACAAAAGGTCTTTTCAACTGTGTGTATACTTATTAGAGTTAATAAACCCTCTGCCATCGAGTTGATTCCGACTCATAGCTACCCTATAGGACGGAGTAGAACTGCCCTATAGGGTCTCCAAAGCTGTAATCTTCACGGACTGCCGCATCTTTCTCCCACGGAGTGGCTGGTGGGTTCGAACCATACACCTTTTGGTTAGCAGCTGAGTGCTTTAACCACTGCACCACCAGAGCTCCTTGTTAGAGTTAATAGGCAGGTTTATTTTCCTAATGTGGTCTGACTATGTATGTTTAGTATAAAATTATGTTTTAAAAACACCTGGATCAGTTCCAGTAAGAAGGGACAAAAGGGAAGAAATTGTCTGGGCATGTTGTTTGAAGTGGTTGGGGCTAAGCTTAGTGAGAAGGAACTTTCCCAGTTTGCAGTGGACATCCACCATTCATCACACTGTCCTGCCAGTGTGAGGATGTCAGCCAGCTTCAGGTGTGGGGGATAGGCGGGGAACTCAGAGAAAACCACAGGAAGGTAACGGTGAGCTCAGGCTCTGCCATCCTTCAGAGCTGGGCGATGATCCTGGGACCAGTGGTCCAGATAACAGAAGGGCAGGTGGGCAGCAGAAGAGAGGCAGAAAGTCGAGAATTAGATGAGTCAGCATGGAAGAGGCTGGAAGAAATAATAAGCAGGGAAGTCAATTGAAAAACACGGACCAGAGAGTAAAAGGGTCTAAGAAACCAGGATGCAGAACCTAGGCAACAATATGTGCATGCTAGACAAGCCCTGCCCGTATGAGGTGAGTCTCCACCTCGCTGTTTCTTTGAGCTTCAGAAGAAATGTTTGTGCATCTGGTATTGTGTGTTGATGCACTCAAAAGAAGCCTGGGGAAGTAAGGGTGTAGATGAATACACAGAAAAAGAGCCACAGAAGGTAGTCTGGGGCTTGTTTAAAACGAGTCCAGACTTACCTCCGTGCTGAGTACCTGCGTGAGGCTCTCTAAGCGGGACCCACAGAGTCAGAGGAAAACAGGAAGTAGTGAATCGGCTGGATTGTCAGGCCACTTGGTTTAAGACTGAAACTAGCCACTGGTTTTTCTTTCTCAGGTTAGGAGGTGAACACGGTCAAATGTGAAAGGCTGTCATGAGTCTTAGACATCTAAGTCCAAGGCAAGCCTGGAAAGAAGGAATACAAGTGCTGGAGGAAAGATTGGCTGCTCTTCTAAGAGTATAAGAGGAGGATGTAGACTCAGTCTTTGGGAAAGCAATTGGGGAATATCAAGAACCTATGCAATTGTCATACCCTTTGATCCAATATTTCCATTTATGGGACTCTATAGCAGTGCAGAGTAAGAAAGTCCTGGCATTCTACTTCCGTAAGATGAAACCTGTTGCCGTCCAGTCGATTCTGACTCATAGCAACCCTATAGGACAGGGGGGTACTGCCCCATAGAGTTTCCAAGGAGAGGCTGGTAGATTTGAACTGCCGACCTTTTGGTTAGCAGCCAAGTTCTTAAGCACTGCGCCACCAGGGCGCCTCCAGAAGATTAGAGCCTTTGAAAACCCTATGGAGCGCAGTTCTGCTCTGACACACATGGGGTTGCCATGAGTCAGAATCAACTCGATGGCAATGGCTTTGGATCTTATAATGTTGTTGGGTGCCATCGAGTCTATTCTGACCCATAGCAACCCCATGTGACAGAGTAGAACTGTCCCATACGGTTTTTTTGGTTGCAGTCTTTACAGAAGCAGATCGCCAGGTCTTTCTCCCGCTGAGCCACCAGGTGGGGTCCGAACCAGGAACTTTTAGGTTAGTAGGTGAGCACTTAACCATTGTGCCATCAGGCTCCTTGGATTCTATAATAGCTAGTGGTTATTGAGTGCCTACTATGTGGGCAGGCTTTGTGATAAGCACTTTACGTATTGGCTGATCCTCATACAAACCTGAGAGATAGGTGGTGTTATCCCCACTTCACAAAGGAAGAAATTGGAACTCAGGTTAATAACTTGCCCAGGACCATACAGTTAGTGGTTGCAAGG